AATCTGATCAGGTTGCCCATCCAAAAGGCTTTTCACTTTTCTGTTTGAGGCAAGGCAAGGCAGAAAAACTTCTGGTGGCTTAACAGACTAAGCCTTATGTATGCTGTTTTCAAAATAATTCATGAAAGCCCATGTTTACTATTGCATTTTGTGTTCTTCAAGAGTGAAAGACTGATTTAAATCTTAGAAAGAAGTTTGAACCCAAATTTGGTGCTCTGCTCCATAACCTATATTTTATCAGGTACAAAATATTCAGGGATATGACATCTGATTTTTTTTTTTTTATGTGCATGTATTGCTGAGACTCCTACTTTTCTGTGCTCAAAGGTTAAGTGTACAGCAAACTTGTGAAGAAGCAAAGTTGTATAATACCCTTCTGCTTCTTTGGGCCTCATTTTCTCTTGAAAGGTATCTTCCACTCCTCAGCTCCTGTCCTGTTTCTGATGGAGGAGAATTCTGCTTTAAAATACGTAGGAAGTTGCTGCATTTGGGTGCACAATGAAATTTCCTGTGCTGGTCAGGATAACACACCTTCCTATTGTCCTTTGTCTGTTGTGTCCATGGGTAATGGTTCTCTTCAAAATATTGGTAATTGCTGCCACGGTAACCAAACAAAAACCTGGCATGGCTACTATTGTCAGTATTGCATATGTGAACTCTGTTCAGTCAGTAAACTGCTGCAGCTTTTAATTAGGACAAAAGTTTTATGGTTTAGGCCAAATGATCCGTTTTTGATGCACTGTTCAAAGATAAGGCATCTCCATTATATTATTTGTTTTTGTGAAGATGAAATCATTGAAAAATAACTAGTACAAAAGGCCTAATTGGTTGCCTCAGAACTACTTATTTAGTAGTATTTGACAACAGTTTACTGCTCTTGAAAGGGTTGAATTCTGTGGATCATGAGAGGTTTTGGTTAAAAATAAATTAGGTTTTTTTTATGTTGCAGAGCAGCTAGACAAAGTCACTGAACTGGTTTGGGCACTGTATATGAAATGATCTCCACAAGGCCATGCAAGATAGTTTGTAGCTGGACAGGCAGGAGACAGAAATAGGTATGTGGAAAGCAGATCAGAAAGTAACCAGGTAGGAGCAGCACTGCTTTCCTGGGGTGTACAGTGACTTGGAATTGGGTCTCTGTCCCAGGTGAACAAGACAGGTCTGAATCTTGTAAGTCAGTAAGAACTGCCCCAAGCCTTTGTGTATGACTTCTGACAAGAAACTCATTGAGCTCTGGAGAAGTCCCTGGGGACTAAAAGAGAGTCAGTGTTGTGCCCATCTACAAGAAGGGCAGGAGGGAGGATCTGAGTAACTATAGGCCAATCAGCCTAACTTCCATCCTAGAGAAGTTCATCAGGAGTCTATCTGCGATAAGCTTGCAGAAGGTAAGGTTCTGAATGACAGCCAGCATGGCTTTGTTGCAGGCAGGTCTTGCCTTACCAACCTCATCTCCTTCTATGACCAGGTAACTCACCACCTGGACACGAGAAAGCAGGTTGACATTGTATACCTTGACTTCCAAAAGGCCTTTGATTTAGTATCCCACAATGTCCTCATGAGAAAATTGGAGGAGTGTGGGTTTAACTCTTGAGACAGTCAGGTGGGTGAGAAACTGGTTGCAGGATAGGACCCAGAGAGTCGTAGTGAACGGATCTGTGTCATCCTGGCGAGAAGTGGGCAGCAGTGTCCCGCAGGGGTCGGTGCTTGGTTTAGTACTTTTCAGCATCTTTATTAATGATTTGGATGTGGGGGTGAAGAGCTCACTGGCCAAGTTCACGGATGACACCAAGTTTTGGGGAAGCATGGTCACACTTGAAGATGGGCAACAGATACAGGTGAACCTAGACAAGCAAGTTAGGCTGTTTGGAATCTGATGAAGTTCAACATTGAGAAATGTAAAGTGCTTCACCTTGGTACAAGCAACCCCAAGACACCTACTTGCTTGACAGCACTAAACTGCCTAGCACCACAAATGAAAAGGACCTGGAGTAATAATAGACCACAGTATGAATATAAGCTGGCAGTGCGATGCTGTAGCCAGCAGGGCAAACAATACTCTGGCATTCATTAATTGATGCATCTCCAGCAAAACCAGGGAGATGATTCTTCTGCTCTACACAGCACTGGTGAGATCACAGCTGAAGTACTGCATCCAGTACTGGGCACCGCACTTTTTAACAAGAACGTGGACAAGCTTGAGAGAGTCCAAAGAAAAGCCACCCATATGATCAAATTTACATGGCAAGCCATATGAAAAAAGGATGAGGGATTTGAGACTCTTCAGCCTGAGGAAAAGAAGGGTGGGGGGGGACCTGGTAACAACTTACTGCTACACTAGGGGAGTATATCAAGGGCAACTGTTTACCAGGGTGCCTGAGGGGAAAACCAGGAGTAATGGCCACAAACTCCTGGAAGACCAATTCAGGCTCAACATTAGGAAAAACTTCTTCACATTCAGGGTGTCCAGATTGTGGAATAAGTTCCCTCCAGATGTGGTGCAATCACCTACCCTGGAAATCTTCAAGAGGAGACTAGACAGTCACCTTGCTGGGGTCACCTGACCCCCAGTTATCTTTCCTGCTTGGTGCAGGGGCCTGGACCTGATGATCTTCCAAGGTCCCTTCCAGCCTTACAATCTATGACACCCTCGGAAGTCCTCAAATTACTCTCCCTAACTTAGGGGGCCAGAGCGAGTTCTCAGTAATGGAACTGAAGCCCAGGGAAGGAGGTCCTCATTGCACGGACCCTCTGATAAAGTCCCTTGATGCTTCTACTTTTTAATAAATGAAAAAAATGAGATTCTTACTGAAATAGGATAACAGGGGAATCTCTGCAAGGTGATCCTCATGGTGTTTTCCTTCTGAAGTATATTCATCATGTGGCTTTTATCATGGGAGTGGACGAGTTCAATCTAATGGTTTCAGAAGGCATTATTATAGGACCCGATTAGTTTATCCCTGAAGGCTGCAGGGTTTTTTCCACCTAGACATGTGAAGGAGTGGCTATTAAAAGCTTTGGGCAGTAATTGGGATGCAATGTTAAGATGTGTATATTGGTAAGGAATACAAATGGTACAAGAGCAAAATGTTTATGAACAGGGTGGTGGTGGGGATGGGGAACGTTCTGGATGTACAATCATATCTCATAGGGAATAGAAGTGTCTCCATTTACTTGTGACTTATGAAAAATATGAACAAAGCATTACAAGAAGTACTATAGGCTAAGTACAGGTGGTCAAAAAACCTGGGGCTGAATCAATTAAATCTTGGCAGGTTAAGCCGTGTAGATTGAACTGATACACAAGTGAACAGACATTCACTTTTGATTCTGGAAATGCAGCCACATGCTTGCAGTGGCCCAGGCCAGAAGCCAGGAGGTGCTAGAGAAAACCTGGGGGAGGTGGGGAGAGGGGAGCAGTTTGTGGAAGAGGTGGACTGTGAGTTACCTGGGATCTGGGACAGAAGTTCAATAAACCATTTTCACCTAAATCAGTTAACTCTGATACTACATCCATCCAGGTTTATCTTAACCTGGTTTCAGTCATTTTGAAAGCAGTTTATGTGCACTGAACTTCTGTTGCATTACAGGTTCAAACCAGTTTCTGATCACTTATACTGGCTTATGTGTAATTTCTCTCCCTAGCCAGAGAGAACAGTTAAACCCATGAGCAATTAACTATGACCCAATAGCTCAAATGGGAAGACTTCCATGTCTAATTCTCATAACACCATTGCATGACACTTCTTTAGTTTAATCCTGGATACAAGGATGGGGGGAGTGAGGGGAATAGAAATTTTCCTATTTGATAAAAATAAAGTAAAACTGGCATGTTCTTTTCTCATTTTTAATTTTGAAAATGTACACACAAGCTGGGAGAGTGAGGAAGGCAGAAGAAACATAACCCATGGAATTTAGATATGCGTGCATGCAAACACACTTTGCTTTTATGTTTTTCAATGCATTAAGAGTAAAAAGGTTAAGTATAGTAAGAATGTATAGTAGATAAATTGTGTTAAGGGATATATATGTGCTTGGGCTTTTTATTTTTTTCTCCCTAAATTCTCGATTCCTCCTTAACTTATAGTGTTGCAGGTGATTGGTATACTTTTTGTGCATCATTTAATTGCTCACTTGATTGCCATCACTATTGACCCAGCAGACCAAAATGTGCTGGCCAAGAAGAACTACAACAACCCCATGCCAGTCTTTGATAGAAGCAAACACAGACATGTCATCCAGAACCAGCACTGCTATCTCTGTGAAGTAGATGTGTAAGTTATTCAGTAATAATATACTGTAGAGAACCATTCCCCCCCTCCTTTCCCCCATTCCACTCTAGAGGCATTTCTTCACTTTTGTTATGACTTCCTGGGTGGCCAGATTGGATTGGTAATAACCCTTTAATTATAACTTACCTGTCTAGAATTATCACTTCATACTTAAGCTTGCTTGACACTATTATACATGGGCAACTGATGCCACCTGAGTCAGGGGGGGCACATGCTGCCCAGCAGCCAGTCAGCAACTGGCAGGGGGGGGGGGAC